CAAATCAATTTATATTATATTAGACAATGGAAGTCCGAACTGATTAAATACACCACGAAACATTGTCAACCACCTTGAAAAAAAATCGACTAAATATGTTAGAAGTGGAGTTAGGTGAGGAAATACAGATTTTGATTATTTTGATAGATACCTTATCGGAACATTTGTTTTTAAGGAGTTGACTATTATGGTAATATCATCCACATTCATTTGAAATCGTGTTGTTTTGTAGAAGTTAAGAAGAGTAGAAATATCCCAATCGTTTATAATTATAGTGGAGTTGGGTACAACATGTGATATAACGAATTTTTTTCTCTGAATAATCAAAAATCTATTTTCAATTTTTTCAAAAAGACTAGTATGCACACTTTCATTTTTCAAACTTCTTTCTCCCCCATTTTCCCTAGTCTACCATTTATTGTCCACTTCTGTGTAAATATCCTTCGTTGCAATGTGACAAAACACTGCCGTCTGGCGTATCGAGTTTTGACAGATTGGCCTGTCCCATCGAGCAACTTTAGTTCAAGTTATAAGTGGATTTCGGNGAGAGATGGAATGCGGAAAGGTAAATTTGTCAACACAGAATATCATTTACGAGTCTATAGGTGCTCCTTGACAATTTACCAATATACGGCTTTCAAAATGAACGTTGAACGAGTCAGCTCTAGATTATTCCAATAACTATATACAACATTTATGATTATTTACATAGACGTGGACACTGTACATGTGTACATGGGAGGTTGATACTTTTTTAGGAATTTATTACTTTCTTTTACAGTTCTTAAACTGGAGCAATGTACAGCGTGAAACATTGATCACCTTAAAACAAAAATATACGCCGTGAGTGAAAACGAAAACGTTACAACATGCGAAAGTTTTTAATATTTATAGAATTATTCAAAATTTGATTCCCTAGTGAATTTTCGCTCCAAACCTAACAAGTTTGTCATTTTTTTGGAACTTTCAATAAAAGATAAGTTGCGTAGTTTCCACATTTATACATTTTGTTCAAATTTGAAATCTCTACTGTCACTTCTACTTTTTTTTTAGTTTTTCGAAAGTTTTGCTCTAACGACTCTTAGAAAATATTATTCATATTTCATAGTTTCGATGAATACGAAAGTTGGATATCACATCTTGACCAGAATATACCCACACTAGCCTGTTGAAAAATAATAATGCATATTCAGATATTCGTCTACGTTGCAAAATTAATCTAGGACACAACACCCCAAAAAAGGGGGGCAAACCGCGAACACGTATACAGGTCAACTCAAAAAATAAAAATTTGGGATAATGAAATGAATGCATGAATACTTTATTTCGAAGTGAAAGTGACAGATGAAACATTCAAGATGGCCGACTGAGCGCCATCTGGGAAAAAAAATTAAATAAAAAGGGGGGTCTAGTGACACATCTTTTTGAAGCTCCTGACATAAAACGTCATATAAAACGTCGCGAGAACACGTTTCATTGTCTGATAAAACTTTTCTTTAAGGGTTATTAACTCCTCCGATACACACTCATGAATTTTTCAAACGATCATTTACGTATCAGATATGCAACATTTACAATAAACTTCCCCCTCATTTAAAACATTTCAAAATAGGTATTTTTAGGCAAAAATTGAAAATTGAACTATTAGGTAAACAAACTTAAATACTCAATAATTTATCCGTATGTATATTCTTTCTCTTGTTGTTATTGGAATGCTGATTGATATCAGGTGTATAATGTATTACTTTTTCCATTTTTTTTGTTTTTTTCGTTTGTATTTTTTTTATTCTTTTTTTGTTGTTGCCAGTTCTCGTAGCTGGCTGTGGAGGTTAAGTGGTAAAACAAACCTGTAGTGTTCTACACTGCAGTTTTGAACTTCCCCTTTTGGATGTTATATTGTATTTCACCCAATAAAGACCATTATTATTATTATCATTATCATCATTATAATATACGTCGAATCCAAAAAGTTCAAAATTGTTGTCTTCGAATGATGTATCACATTGGGAGGAGAGAAAGACTTTCCCATAAGTTGAAAGACGCGGGATTATTGGGTATGTATAACAGACGCAAATTACACGCTATCACTGTTTACTATAAAATACCGAAATTCAAAAATCCTGAACATTTATACAGAAAAGTTATATATAAGACAGATATGCATAACGTCAATTTTCGGAGAAAAAATTGGTTTTAAGACCTTACATGATCCATTTATTTACCTCCTTATGTGATCTGAATAATATTTTATGTTATGGTAAATAATAAATCATTGAGCCACAATCATCAACAACTGATAATTGTCTAATCACTACTAGAAAACTGGCTGAGGATGACAGTAATCACCTGAAGACGATTGTGGATACTGAAAATCGAAACGACGTGACGTAACTTGGCTGGAGACCTTTTATTAATTATTATTCCTTTTCAATTACTCAATTTTCGATTGTTGCGTGTATTTTTTCTGATTTCATTTCAGTTTTTTTTGCGCAATATAATTGTTATTTACAGCACTTCATTTTATTTTATTTATTTTTTCAGGGATTTCAAAAAATGTTACAACATATCAGAAAATAGAAGTCAGAACTGATGAAATGGATCATGAAACATTGTCAACCACCTTCGAAAAAGTTCTGAATATCAGTTACTAATGTGAAAATTATTGAGACATTTTCCGAAAGTGGTTTTGCCGAAAGTGGTTTAATTTTTTTTCAATATCTTCAATTTTTCGAAAATAAAATGATTACTTATGATACATCATTGAAAAAGTAAAATTTGGTTCTATTCAAAAAAGAGAAAGAATCCAATGTAGCGCCCATAAGAAAAAATAAAGTTGATGATAGTGGCCGGAAGACGAAACGTCGGATAGCAAATCTAAAAAAACCACTATGTAGCAGGGAAAAAGTGGCAATGTGGAAGTGCAATTTATTTTCCAATCCTTCGAGAAATGAAGCCAGAAAAAAATAAAAACCATTTTCCGAATATCTCCGGATATACTCGAAATTTCAGAACTTTCTCAACGGCATATTGTTAATCAGCTGAATGCGTAACTTTGCCCCGATTTAACCATCTTTTTATCTCTCATAGTTTCCGAGATCCCAATGGTGAGGATCGAATTTGAAACACCCTGTATATCAATGAAAAAAGTTTGTAATTTACTGTCTTGCCAAATATACCGTCAGATGGTTGGCTTCAACGAATATACAATGGTAGAGATGTCGATATAATAAAAGCATAATTTACTTTACCCGTTCAATTTTTGGCGAATGCGACAGGCATACGCGTGAATACTGGAAATAGAAATTTTAATATTTGGTGAATGCATAGGTTTGCCTAAAAGTAGGAATATCTCCACGATTCAGATTACAAAGGAAAATCTCTGAGATGACCTTTTGGCGAAACACACGAAACAACGTGTGATTTCTAATACGGATGTTTCATGCAGTTCGGTAATATTTGTGTCATATATTTAAGGTGCGTATTCACCAAAAAAGCGAGCACGAGCGCACAAGAGTGAACAAGCATTCTGCATCAATAATCGTCTGGTGAATACGGGCTAGCGAGCGAGCGAACGTATGTTTGTTCGCAT